CTCCTTCTCCTCCTCTCTCCTCCTTCTCCTCCTCTCTCCTCCTCCTCCTCTCTCCTCCTCTCCATTGGGAAGAACCAGAGTTCCTCCACACTTCTCTTTGCCTGAACATCTCTTTATTCTCTTTGTGGTTGTTATAGGGATGTTCTTAGTGGTGACAACCCATCCTCTCTCCTCCTTAACCTGGGATACAAACAAGTTTTAAAAGAAGTTCCTGTAGGTCAGAGCTGTTAAAATGGTTCCTGCTCCCAGGTGGTTTGTTGGAAGCCACCATCAGGAAAACCAGAACTTGCTTGTGGGTTGGCTCTTTGAACTGTTGCTTTTTATGATGATTTTATTGAACCTGTGCTGAAAAGACCAAAACTCTGTAAGGTTTTGAGGTGGTTCTTGTCTGAATCCATCATTCCCCTCTGGCCCTTGGCAGGCTGAGCAGGCAGCAGCGCTTTGTCCTCATTGCACACATTCCCTCTTGCCCCAGCACGGGCAGGTTTGCTCTGCTGCCAGGTCCTCGCAGCTTGTTCTAACACTTTTGCTTTATGTATTATCTGATGCTGAAGGAGAGGTTTTTTTGTCATATGTTTACAGAAATACTTTTAGGGCTGTCTTATATCAATTTATTACCTGCATTTCTGCTCGGAAGTCTTTCTAATGGAGTGAATTATCTGCTTCATTTCCTTTTTACTCCTTTGCCATCACTGACATTTATAGGTTGTGTTCTGGCTGCTGCCACTTCACTTCCAGCTTAAGAGCAGCAAAAGCATCACAGACTTGAGGTGCACTTTCTGTGTCAGAAGGGATGTGTGAATAGAGCTGAGAGCCGTGTGAAATATACTGAAAAGCTATTTTTAAAAGTAAGGAATAATTCTTTTTTTCTTTTTCCTGGATTCTGAAAACTCAGCTGATTTGAACATTCCCTGGCACAGAGCTGAGGGCTGCAGGGTGTGCAGGGAATGTGGCTGCACACAGAAGTAGAACTGTGATGCTTCCCACTGTTGTCTGTGTGTGTGATGGGTGTGGAGTGAGGTGTGCTCCAGGTCCTGGTCTCTCGTTACAGTAACTCCTGAACCAGCAAGGAACTGGGTAATTCTCAGGCAGAGCATCTAAAGGGGGAGCTGAGCCCACAGAAACACAGATTTGTTTGTGCTCGTCCTTGTGTCTGCCCAACACGCACGGCTGTGTTCACACACACATTCGTGTGTTTGTCTGTGGTGAAGGAAGGTCTGTGTCATCTGAGAAGAAAGAAATGCAGAGCAAATCCTGTTCCATTTTCTATGTGTAGTAAAGCAGGTGCTCCCTGCTCTCAGCAGAACAGCTTGGCAGCATTGCTTGGTGCCTGTGAGTCAGCTGGGAGCTCTGGGGTCCATAAGAAAATTTCATAACTCAGTATTCTCTATCTCAGCTTTGAGTGTAGATTTCAAACATCATTGTTCTTTTGTGTGTTTCCTACTCCCACACAGCAGCCAGAGGGTCTCACCACCAGACCCTGGAGTGAAAAATGACAGAACCACAGAAAGGTTTTGGTCGGGAGGGACATGAAAGTTCATCTCATTCCATCCCCCTGCCATGGCAGGGACACCTTCCACTGGAAGGATGCAACAGAAAAGTGCAGTGATTGTCTTAATGTGTGTTTGAAGGTGAGGGGTGAACTTCTTGTTTTTATTTAAGCAACACAAAATTTTCAGGAAGGCCTTTTATTCACAAGTTCCATCTCCATGGCTCCTACCCAGAAGTGGTACAAGGAACATCTTTTCTAATGGCAGCTGAATGACTGCTGAGATCCCAGAACAAATTCATTTACTTCTTGGTTCCTGCAGAGGTGATACACTCTAGGACAGCTTACTAATAACAAATTACAAGTTTAGCAAGTAATAATTTAATTTCTTATGAACTTGATGCTTCATCTCCACTAGCAGGGAATGCCATGGTGATGTCAGTGAAGTGGTGCTGAGGGAAGGGAGCAGGAAAGAAAGCAGGTGGTTTGATAATGTTTAGATAAAGTTTCATGAAGTGCAATGAGCAAAGAAATCTGTAATTAGCATTTTGCATTGTTTGTGAAGACATTTGAATAGTGGATTTAATCAGGGTCGGTGTTGAGGAAGGGGCTGCTCACGGGCAGAGGGAGGAACCTCGAGGGTCTCAAGGTTTGTACTCACCCAGGAGCGGTGACTTGTGCTGCCTCATCCGTGGAAGGAGAAAGATTGAAATCTTGTATGGGATGTTTGAACTGTACCTCTCCTGCTGTGACTCACTTGTGCATTTGTATTTTGTCACCTGGGTCATTGCTGACCACTGGGACTTGTTCCAGCCCTGCCTTCTCCTTAGCTTTGGCAAATACCTCATTACCTATTGCAGGGGAATTGCTGCTTCTGTCATTGTGCTTCTCCTGGCTCTGAGATTCCCAAGCTTTCCCTGCAGTAACCTACAGCCCCAGCTGGGTCTGGCATGGCCCTGCTCTCCTTCCAGGCCACATCACCCATCTGCAGGGATCAGAGACCTGGCCAGAACCTACCAAAGGGGATTGTGGATCCACTTGTGTTCTGTCACAAGTTATGGTGTGGATTTGCTAAATCTTCAGTCGTTGAATCCTTCCCCATCTTCAGCTTCTCAGTGGCTAAATGGAGCTGTTTCCCTGTTCTCCTATCTGGGTCCAAATCTGTTTGAACGTTGAGTGATTTGAGAAAATGTCCTTAATCTGCACAGCAGGTTTGTGTAGATAAAACAATCGCGCCAGAATCTCACCTGGGCCTGCCAATACCTCATGTGGTACCAATAAAGGAATTGATCACTCAGTGACGGAGCAGTTTTGTTCCCTGTATCTGGTTTGACAAGGATCAGGGTGCTCAAGTTTATATTCTCTTTTTTGCAGCTGCTGCAAGTCCTTTGCATATGTTAGCAACCCACGCGTCCGCATCGGCATCGCTTCCCACCAAGCGCCAGAACGGAGACCAGTCGGAACAGCAGGAACTCAAACGTATCAAAACAGAGGATGGAGAGAGCATAGTCATAGCTGTGAACGTGGACACCCCACCCGTGGCAGTGAGTGACAAAGGCAGCCAGAACTAGAAACTTTAGGGGAGTTTTCTTTTTTTTTCTTTTTTTTTAAAAAAAAAAAACAAAAAACACAAAAAACCAACAAAAACAAACTCCGTGGTGCCAAAAGGAGACACTTAAATCTAACACCTAAAATGTTGGAACATGTTCTCACGCAGTGGGGAAAGGGGCCCTGTGATCAGACTTCAACTTTCAGCACTGAAACAAAACCCAACACAGGTGGCCTTAAAACTTGGTAATTTAAAGTCAAACTGCAGAACCATGTTGTTGTAGAGGCTGTGCCCCCCGCCCCTCCTGCCCCACGGACTGTGTGTGCTGGGAGGGCTGCAGCTTTAACAGGATCTGTCAGATTATTCCCAGGACTGAGGATCTCAGTGTAACGGCAGCATGATAGCGCTTAGTGTGACTGGTTGCAAAGGATTGTATATTCCTAAAGGGAACAGAGGCAGGAGCCATTCCGACACCGTGGCAGCTAAGCCTTTCCGAACCACCCACCCATGCAGTTGTTGATAGATATGCAGTATTTTGTTGTTCACATGTGGAATTAGAAATTTTTGAGGTGTATTTTCATTTCTTTGCAAAACAATGGGGTCTTTGACATTTCAAATCACTCCATTTCTACTCCGGAAACTTTGGAATCACACAACTACTTTTCATGTGAAATTTTGTTTGGTAAAAAACTGAATGTAGGGTTTTTTTAACCAACGGAATGATTTACTTTTGTCTGTCCTGTTCAAGTTCAGATAAAGCTACTTTATTACATCTGCAAATTTTCATATTTTAGCAGTTGCCTGATAAATTTAATCAAATTTTATTACCATGTGTAGTGATCAAACGCTTCTTTGGGCTTGCATGTAACTGATTAGAAACTCTGATGTAAATGAGCCGTTAACTGACGTAAAGAACTGCTATGGATTTGACCAGAGCTGCACTTACCTGTTTCTCTCTCTGCTACCTTTTGCTGTTTGTTACTTTGTGTTGACTTTGACTGTCCCTGGCATATTTTTCCAGTCTAAAGTAAAACAAGAGTCTCGCTTAATATTGTGTATGTTTAAGATAACAGACTGTTCTTCATTTAGAAAGATAAAATTCTTTATCACGAGTCCTTTTAAAAAGAGTAAAATTATCTTGTCAGAGGTATATTCGATATTTTTAAGCTTAAGCACCCTTCAGTAGAAATGAATCTGCCCCGTTTCTCTGTAACACTTTGATGTCAGACACTGACCTCGGGGTCTCCATGACCAGTAGCTGTTGTGGTTTTCTAACAGTGGCTACCAGATTATGGTAATAATTTTTTTTTTTTTTTTTTTTTTTTAAGTGTGTGTTCTGCAGTTGAACATTTTAAAATGTATCGGTAATTTCTCACTTTAATGTGGTAATAGATTCCACTTTACATTTCAAAATTCAATTGAAACAAGGCTGCTGTTCAGTCTTCAACTCACACAACGTCTTAGTTCCTCCTGCAGCCAGGTGAGTGGGAGCCAGAGTTGGTTCCATCGGAATCTGGTTTTTGTCCTGTTCTGTAATAAAGATGCATTATTTATACTTCCTTTCCTGCTATGAAAGGAAAAACTGTATTTTCACGATGGACTGAACAGTTTGGAGTGGTTATTTTAGGCAGCTTTTGGAAACTATTTACCTAAAGACCAAATATGAGAAATCTGTACAAGTTTTGTGTTCATCTACACAATGGAACTGTTACAATGTCTCTGCAGATAATACATTAAAAAACTATGAAAAAAAACTCTACACAAGCTGGATTTATAACAGGCATTTAAAAAAAAAGAAAGCTTAACCTGAAAAGAAGCATTTCTGTACAATTGCAACGTTTTCTTTAGAGGTTTTAAAAATAAAAAAAAAAGTAAAGTTTTAACATACTTTTTTTAAGAAAAAAAAATCCAGTACTAGTAATTTAATTTGGTGTTGAATGAATTGACTAGAATGTGGTTTATTTTCAGAAGTGAGAATCTGTTCACAACTAGGGCTAGGTGAATAATAGTGTATAAGATTTTTTTAAATAAAATTAAATTTTATTCAGCAAATTAACTAAGTTGAAATTACTCAACAAGTGTGTTTGGAATATTGATGTATATTTGGGGTTAATGCAGCTTCTGGGGCTGGACCCTGCCAGTGCTTTGCAGTGTTTGGGGCACAGGAGGGCACAGGATTGTGTCTGCCTTAGCCTGGATCATTATTTCTGTAAGGTTTAGGAGATGTCACTGTCATGAATGTGGGTTTGGTGTCTGATCCCCTTTTCCTGCATTGGTTACAGTCTCTGTTTCTCAGCAGCTGGGGAAATGCTTTCAAGGACCAGGAAAACTTTCCTGGAAGCTGGGTCAGGTTTTCATGGTAACACTTTCAAGAGTTGGGGAGAAACCCAACTCCACAAGGCTTGGATGGAACTGCTGGGAAGAGCTGTGGTGTTTGGAGCTGAATGGGGCAGAGCCTGTTCCTTGAACAGAAAATGTGGTCTGAATGCTCTGAACAAACACAATCCTTGGGGAAAAGAAGAAAATAGCTTACCATGGAAGCAGTGAAGTGGTGTAATTGTCACTGCCCCAGAGCAGGCAGGGCAGTGTGACCCAGCCCCAGCCCCGTGGCACTGTGTGTCCAGCACGGCCCTTCTGCCCTGTGTCTGGAAGAACTGCTCATGTCTCACATCTCCAGCTGCACTGATTCATCTTGTATTTTCTCCTTCATCGTGACTACCTAAAGGTTCTGAAAGCAATCCTCGTATTCCACGGTTTCTGCTGGCAGGTACCTGGAATTACTGTAGAATTTAATGCACTGACTCATTAGTTTTCCTGTCAGGATTCTGAACTGTGACACAGGTACTGTGGAGAGAGATGGCAAAATGGGGAGAGGAGGCGTTGAGTTACTTTTTAATACAAAAGAAACTGCTAATCCCTGTACCTAAAGCGCAGATGCTGGTGGGAATACGTTGTGCTCCAGGAACAGTCGTGTTTCACACTTGCTGTGCGAGCTCTCTGCTCTCCTGGTGGCTGGGGGTGACCCAGTGGCCGTGTGCTACCACCAGTCCATCAGTGCCAGGTACAGGGCCCACAGTCCTCAAAGCATCATTCCTTTTCCCAAAAAGTGACTGACTGAGCACCGTTCCATTTCATTGTAGAGCTGTGCAAACACTGGGTAAGTTCATCCATGGGAGGCAGTGCCGCACTGAGCCACAGTGAAGCACTGGCAGAGCAAGCTGGAGCCAGCTGGGAAGATTCAGTCCCGTGCTGGATTTGATCACTTGGAACAGCTGTACCTAAATCACATCCATTTGCAGGTAGCACAAGAAATCTGAGGTGTATAGGACATTTCCAGGGTCAGTACAACACTACTGGCTGCCTGCACAGGTGTGGTATTGTCATTCCTGCTGCCACCTTGGAGCAGAGGTTTAGTAGAAGAGTTTTAAATCTTCCCCAGAAATGTAGTAGTCTCTTGTCAGCTCTAGGATAACTGGGACAGGAGGGCAGGGGGATGGAACAGCAGCAGCTGAGGCTCAGCAGAGTTGTTGGAGCAGGTGCAGGGGCTGGATGGGGGAGTTCAGCAGCCCCTGGTACTGGGATCAGGACCTCCCACTGCACAGTGAGAGGGATTCCCATCACCCTTGGGGAGCCACCTCCAGCACATCCTTCTCCAGGAGATGACAGTTCCAGTCCTGCTGGTCCAGCTCTTCCAGGCTGAGGAGCCTCAGCCCAGCAGAGGGGGAATGGTGAGGTAAGTGCTGAACAAGAACCGGTTTTCCCTGGGAAGGTGGACTTGTTTTGGGACAGACAACAAGGTGCATGTCCCAGGCAGTGGCTCACGTGCTCCTGTCCCCTCTTGACACAGCGGGTTCAGCTCCTGTCCTTCACCAGCCACCACTATTGACTCACATGTTTATTCCCCCAGCCTGGAGCAATGGAAACCATGGCTGTGACCATCAGTGAATACAGCAAAGTTAGTCACTTTTATTTAAAAGAAATAACATATTACAAATAAGTGTGCAAAACAATTCCTGTGGTTAAATACGCATAAAAGCAACATGCAACCTTGACATCAACATGATAAGTTAGTCCTTAGTAGGTTACATGACACTAAAAGGGACTTGTCAACGTTAGAGAGTTTGCAGCTGAAGTCACAGAGTGTCAGGGCTGAAGCATCTGTGAAATTAGCTTTCAGTAGAGCAAGACCTCCCTGCCCCAGTGTTTAGTGCCACAGATGCCAAACTTGGGGCTATCTCAGGTTCTGGGTTAGGAGCTTGTGCCTTAGGTCAGCAGTAATAGGATAACAATTTTTGGGGAAGAGTGTACAAGTCAGTGGGTTCAGTCTAACCTACCTGTCCCTGGGCCAGCAGCAATAGTATGCGACAGCTCAAAGGAAAAAAAAAAAAGACAAGTTTGCAAGTTTAAAGCCATTGCAGACATGGAACTTCCTGCCACCTTGTTCAGTTCTTGTGCTGGACATGGACATGGCCTCTCCAGCCTCCCAGCTGCAGCAGTTTGGCAGTAGTTTGGCAGCAGTTTCACAGCTGTCACACCAGTACCGGCTGTTGGATTATGGAAGGAATCAGCTCTACAACAACAGGAGCCCTGGGTGCTTGTTGTGCTCGCACAGGAGAGAGCAGTTGGGTCAGCACTTGCCCAAAGGTGCCTCCAGCTGCTTCACAGAGTTTGGCACCTTGGACAAGTGATGCTGATCCCTCACCTGAAGCAGCACTGGCAGGGCCACACCACCACCACCACCCAGCCCTGGGCACCAGTTCAGAGGACAAGCAGGACTTGATCTACAGCTGTCCCTTGCTCCGTACTTGTCACCTTCTCTGTTCCCTGAGCCGTGCCAGGGGGAGGGGGAGGCAGGACTCCTGCTGGAGAAAGCATGATCTGAAGTGTTCCCCTGCTCTCAGCCATGCAGTGGGAGTAAAGCAATGCCTAAAATCTTCTGCTTTCACATCCCTTTTCCTAAGGCCAGCCAAAGGTGTGGACAGCCCCTGCAGAGCTCTACCTGTGGCAGGCACTCTTGTTGGAGCTACAGTCATGTCACAGTTTAGACTAAAGAGAAACCCAATAGGCACAAGCTTGTTGAAAGCCACATCTTAAAAACTTGAGTTGGTGACAGTAACCCAAAGAGATTTTAATGAAGAATACTTGCAGAAATGAGAACAAACATATGTAGTCCACTACTTCAGAGCTGCTTGTGATCATGTTGAGCCAGGCTTCTCCATGAGCTCTCCTGAACTTCTGGATCAGTACTGGACACTCAGACCCTGTCCCTCAAAGGCGTGGGGTGGTTGAGGCGGTGCTTTGAGCCGTGCACTCCCCTCCCCTCAGTCAAAGCTTGTCGTCCGTCATTTCTAGGAACTGAGCGTACACATCCCTTGAGCATTCCCCTTTTTGGTTGAATAAGAACTTGTAGTAGCTGCCATCTGCACATATTGCTGCAACACAAACAAGCAGGGTCAGGGGGGCTGTGCCAGAGGTGCCTTCCTTTTCTCCAGCTCCAGGGTAAGCTGCTCTTCAGACACACAGAGGTGCTCTGGAGGGACCCCTGGGCTGCCAGCCCTGCCAGCCCTGCACTGTGCCAGCCCCGTTCTGTGCCAGCCTCCCTCCCTGGGCAGTGAGAGCAGCCAGAGCTCTTGGATGACAGGGACACTCAGCCCTGTCTCAGCAGAGCATTCCCTTCCTCCAAGCCAGCACAGTTCAAGCCTGGTTCTCCAGCCAGAACCTGGAGCCACCTCCATCACTCACCTATGACAGCATTTGGCTCTGTTCCAAAGGCACAAATGCACGGAGAGCCTGAGGGAACCTGGAATTTGGAAAAACTCCATTTGGAACTGAAGTATTTGGGGAGAAAGGTGGCAGAGGCCAAACTGAAAGAAAAAAACACAAAAAGGCATTTAACAGGTTGGTATGGTGTTGACTAGGGTGGGTTCAGAGCTGCTGGAGTGATTGAACAAGGTGCAGGGTTCACGTGATTTTTTACTGGCTTTTTATTATCTCATCTGATACTTTAAGTATCAGATAACCTGAGTAATTCCCATTCTCAGGAATGGAGACACTATAACTACCTTGCTGGCTTTAAGTGGCTGCAAAAACTAACGGATTGATTGATTTTTAGTAGAGGAAAATGTCCACAATGTATGTTCATCCTAAGGTCCATTAAAACCTACACTGACCCTCTACTGAAATGCTACAGCCCCACAAAGGACAGCAGGAACTGGGAAATTTCCAGAGAGTCTGAAATCTGCAGCTTCACGCCAGCCCAGCAGATAAACTTTTCCACTTTCAGCAGTGTAGAGATTTTGCTACTGAGTGACATGGTCAGAGTTTTAAATGCAATTCAAAGCTCAAGGACCCCTCCAGGGCTTCAGAACAGCTTCATCCCTACCTTGACTGCTTATTTCTTTTTGGGTCTTCTGCAGCAAAAATGTGGACTGTGCCGTGGTCACTGGAGACGCAGATGAGGGAAGCATCCTGGTTGAAGTTAATACTGCAGAGAACACAGACAGCTGCAGGATTTCTCCTAGGACAGACCCACAGGCCTGGCACAGACAGTTCTGCTGCTGCAGTTGTGCCAGCCCAGCAGGCAGGGTGGTAACAGCTGCTCAGGAGGAGCTGGGGCTGCCCCAAGCCAGGGCTGCTTTGGGATGAACAGGCAGCACTCAGAACAGGGCCTGCAGTGGCAGCAGCTGCAGCTCTGACAGGGACACCACTGCTGTGGGTCACTCTGACCCTGCTGGAAGGAAATGCAGAGCTCTGCTCTGAGGAGTGGGCAGAACGTGCAATTGCTACCCCACAGTGGGGCTCAGCACAGGAACGGGAGTGTTCTTGGGGAGCGGGCAGAGGGTTTCCCTGCTCCTGGGACAGTCACACCTCTGCCCTGGGTGCTCCTCTGCACAGCAGGATGTGGGGATAAAGCTCCCCTTGCCCCCAGGCTCGCCCCACCCACCCTCAGCAGTGTTCAAGTGCATCAGGGCACTCCCTGGGTGTCAGTGGGAAGTTCCCACGTGGGCTGAGCAGTCAGGGCCTGGCAACAGCTCTGTCCCTGGTCCTGTAGCCTGTGCCAGGCTTCACAGAGCTCCCAGCTCCTGCCTTCCCCCCCCCAGCAGCGAGCCCAGAGGGAGATGCAGAGGCCCAGGGCAGCTGGGGTACCACAGGCATCCTGTGCTGGCTGAGGGGCTCAGCACAGCCAGGCCCACAGGCAGCAGCTGAACGTACCAGTATATATTGGCTGCTTGCGATCCTCGACGCAGCTCCTGGATTAAATGCCCTGATGAAGTATCAAATATTCTTATGAGGGTCCCCTTGGAAAGGAATCAAGCATTGTATTAGGAAAAGCAGAAGATTGTCTTTACAGCTGTGAATGCATCCTGAAATTCTGTTTCACCAGCGTGCCCCTGCACACACTGCTGGGGTTTTTTTTGGTAGATTTACAAACCTCTCTTAATTTTGAGGAAGAACACTGGTTTCCCCACACAGCATCACCACAATGTTATATGCCTTGGGGTACAATCTTGTCACACAGTGACTCAGGAAGTCTCTTTTAGTCCAGTTCTAAGCCCTGGCCCTGATTTGCAGACACTGGCCGATGCAGAGTGTGCCCAGGATCTGTGAGTCACTTCTGCCATGCTCCCCTCAGTACTATTGCACTTTTCATTGCTACTGTGCAAGTCTTTCCACTAAGTATAATCAGGCTGCGGCTGGTCTTGTCTTAAAATTGGCTCAGTCAACATAACCTAGAAGAATCAGTTACCACACACTCATGATCTGTATTGATACAAATCTGAGCACTGCCCAGCCAGGTGATAGAACACTGCACTGGGAAACAGTCCTTCAGCTGGAGGAAACCCAGCCTGGTAACAGAGCTGCAGAATGAGCCAGTTCTGAAAGTGATCAGCAAACCAGTGGTGCTTTCCTCTGATGAAGACTGGGTGTACATTGGGCTGTGCATCACCACCTGCAGCTCCTGTTACACACCTGGTTAATAGAGGCAGCTCTCCAGTCACACACCAGGAAGTAACAACCCAGCAGAGAAAGACTTGGTAAACTCAGTTTAGTTTTGATTTAAGAGACAGGCTTGAGTTGTTTGCTAACTGTGCTCAGACTCCTAGTTCAGTTGCAAAATAAAAGCTGCTTGAACTTCTTCTCTATGCAAAACAAGGAATGTTTAATACAAATGCAGCAGATAATGGCTCTATTTAGCAATGCAGTTGGCAGCTTTTAGAACTCTGCTTAGAAGACATGCAGTCAATTAAGCTTAAGAGAGACTCAGGATACATTTTCTTTTTTTAAACTGTCTGAGTGACAGGCTGGGCAGTAGAAACTAGGTGAAACAGAGACTGGATTCATTTGGCTCATCCTTAAAAAACTTCAGCTGAGTGGTAGAAGGCAGCAAAAGCTGTGCTTGCCTCAGGGAGACAGGTCCATCTGCCTGACACTCCCTGGGGAGACGAATGCCCTGGCAGCTCTTTGTGGTTCCCAGGGAGAAGGCAGCTCTGTCACATTTGCCTCTCTCTGCCTCAGCCCAGCACAAGGGATCTGCACTGCACCCTAACTTCATGTTCTTGTCATGGTCTTGTCTCTTCAGCACTGTGTAACACGTGGCCACACGCTCCCTTTCTGTGTGAGGGGGGCACCTGTCCTGCTCTCTAACAGGGGCTAAGCCAGAGCAGAACAGAGCCTACCAGTACAACTGAATTATTTGCAAGTATTTCTTTAGCCAGTGGATTTGGAGTGAATTTAAGCAGAAAATAATAAAGGTGAAAGAATACAAATAAGGTTCCCCCCTGACCATGTTTTTTTTTAAATTAACAGTATCTGTTGAAGAACACATCAAAGACATGAACTACTTGGGCCAAGTTGTGTTCAAGTGTCACTGAAGAATCACTGCTACAGCCAGCTAAAACAAATACTACCTCAGGCACAGCCCTTGGCTGTCGGCTGTTTGGGCATCCCAGAGGAGCAGGGAAGATAAAGAAACACTGAGAGTGCGCTGTTCAGTGGCAGATTTTCCCCGTTTCCTCCAAAGGATGTGACTTGCTATTTTATCTCACTACACCAGAACACACAGTAAGTCAGAGGCAGGGGACATCATTCTTACTTTTTCTGATGCTGTTGCAATTCTTGTTCCCTGCAGGTTTAAAGCGATACAGCTCAAGACTCCTTCGTGAGCTGGGATGTCCACAGGAGGCTTCTCTGTGTTAGCCAGGTCCACGATCTGCACGTGCCCAGTGTGTGTTCCAGGAAATGCAAGAAGAGAATTATTACTATTTGGACAAAGGACACAGAGACCTGAAAGACAAAAAAAAAAAAAAATAAAATAAAAAAAAGGAATAATTGGATAATTTCCATAACCTAATTAAATTTTCAAATAAAAGTTTCTAAAATATTGATAATTTCAGAATAAGGAAACAGTCACGGAGTAAATCACAATCTCATTGTAATGGCTAGTGCCATTACATTAATTGCTAGTCCCAAAACATCATCTGTCCATGACTGCAGAGCACAGTTAAGCAGAGGAGTAGCATAATTTTAACTTGCTCTCATCACTTTATTTCAATGCAATCCAGCTGTGGTTATCCAAAATCTGGGTGGTTTTGCAGATCAGCCCAGTCAGTCCATAACATCAAAGCCATTTTAAGAAGTTGTTAAAACGTCTCCTTAGCAGCTCAGAAAGGGTAAGAGTTTATCAGAGATATCTGAGCTTCTGCTCCATCAGTGAAACTATTATTAATTTATGTTTGAACTTGGTTCTTACAGCACTGGCACTTTTTTCTTTATAATGTTTTGTGGCCCATTGAGGTGAATCACACCAATCCCAGGTGTTCTGCTGATGCCAAAGTGAATTCCTGAAACCTCAGCACAAGAAAAAACCTCCTCCTCCTGCATTCCCTGCCTGTCAGTCAGCCAGGCTGCTGGAGCTGTATCCAGGCTGGGATTCCATGACAGCAATTACATGTTTGCTCCAGGCAGGCATGAAAACCCTCAGAGATGAGGATGCCAATCCTGTATAATCTGGTGGAGAAAACACCCTCCTAACACAGAAGCTGATCCTCTCCACCAATCAAGCTCTGCCTGCACCCGTTGTTCCACATGCAGCTCTGTCAAGAAGTGTTTGCTCCACCCTTCCTGACACCTCTCCAAGCCACTGCCAGCCCTGCAGAGCCCTTCCCCAGCTCCTTCTGCCATCACTGAATGAGCCTGAGCCCCTCCCCTTGGTTCAACAGCAGCCACAGCTAGTTACAAAGAACACTATCAGTTTGCTCATTAGGCTCTAATGAACAGGAGAGAAGAGTTTGCTCAACACCTCCAGCTCTATTAGGAAAGAGAAATGATGCACTTTACTGTAGTTTGTTTATAATTAACCTTCCAGTAAAAACACAGGTTCTTTACAGAAGAAAGTGTACAGCTCTTATAGAAATCACATCTATAACATGAGCACAGGAAACAGCTTTTCTGGGCCAAGTATTTATAAATTCTAATAACCATTCTGCAAACACAGAAGCATCTCCAAAGGACACGACTGCAGTGCAGTAAATGTTTAATGACTTCTAAAGAACTGACAGAGGCAGCTGAAGATAAATGGCATGTCAAGAACACACTAAACTTGCTTCCATTCCCCAGCCCATACGTACAACTAACCTTTAGGGTTGTAGCAGGTTTCAAAGACGTGCAGCTGGTGGGGATTGTGTGTGAATGTGAAAACTTTAATCATGGAGTCCAAGACAACCACAATTCTGAAACAGACCAGAAGTTCCAGTGACTCAGGGAGGGTAAAACAGGGACACAAACATTCACTCAGACCTGCAAAGGCTTTCAGCTGATTTAACAGCCACTTTTTCCTGCCCTCCCTAGCAAGAGACTCCCAGCCTTGCAGCAGCCTCACAATAATAAACCTGCTAAGCACTTTTATCCAGCCCCTCCACCCACGCATACACAGACTCCAGCTGTTCACAGCTGCTCTTGCTCCAGGAATCTGCTGGAATTTTCTTCACACTCCTCCATACCTAGAAAACCAGCAGAAGCCACAGGAGATTATTTCCCTACATTAGGGGAAATAAAGACCAGGAAGTCTTGCAGGCTTTTCACCAAGGTAAAATAGCAGTAAACTTAAACTGTGGCCTGTTTACACCTAATACCCTGGCTCCAAAGCCTGTTTGACCTGCAATTGCTGGTGTTACAACTGGATCTTTTAACAAACAGCTGGAAATGAGGAGGAGCACAAAGCCAAGCTGGGTGTCTGGACCCCTCTGCTGTACCTACCTGTCTCTTCGAAGCTTCACTGCTTTGACTTCTGTGGAAAACTCTATCTCAATGACAGTCTTCTTCTTCAGGTCATCCCAGATCATGACTAGAACAGTGTAGAGATTGCATGAGACCATCAAGGGATATTCAAAAACATTCATCATATTCCACAGCACCCTTATAACAACTTACAGCTCCCCAGCAGTCTCATCAAAAGGTTCATCCAATGGTTAAGCAGCTCAGACAGGCATCCTGCTAACCAGAAGGCATTGAGCCACTAGGTATCAACTACATATCAACCCCCTAATTCACACTATAACTTGTGCAGGCAGGAGCTGGTCAACTCCAACCAGAAAAACTGACAAAAAACTGAAGATATATTTCTCTAAAGAAAATCAGTTTTTTTGTTTGCTCCGAGGGTTATGAAAGAACTAATGCAGCAGTTAAATAGAGTAATACATTTTCCTACAAAGCTTGCCAGGCAGGGAGCTTCCTGCTCCTTGCAGAGTTCACCATGAGAAGGTAGCAGGCTTGGAGAGCAGTCCCTGCAGGTAGCAGCCTGTTAGCACTGCACCAGCAATGCTGCAACTCACTGCGTCACGGTGACTTAAACCTGCTGCAGCATCCCCTTCACCCGACCTTCAGGACATCAGCTCATGGCCCTGGGAGTGGGAGTTCTCTGGGCAGTGTCACACAAGGGCAAGGCAAACCTTTGCAGGGCTCACCCCTCAAGCTCACCTTTGTTGGGTGGGTACTTCGGTTTTTTTCCTCCACCTACAAGTGCTAAATAGTTGCAACGAAACAACATTTCGACATGGCCGACACCACCTTCTAGAAACTCTGCAAGACAAATATTTTATTTCAAAGTGTCAGAACCAGTTAAATTGCCATCTCATTTTCACCACTGTTATAAGAAAAGCTCATGTTATCTCAGGCACCCGAGAAGAAGAACATCTTCCTATCCTGGCTGCCTTTAAAAAACAGTGGATTCCTTGAAAGTTCTTCATACAGGAGCAGTAAAGCCCTGGATTTCATACAAGCCCTTGTGGTTTCTTCAACAGTACTTCTGAGTGCTGTGTTTCCTTCCTGGATGGTTGTGCTTAAACACTGCTCCTTTCTGCACCAGATCCTCTGCCTGACTCCATTAAAGCATTTAAAGCAGGACAGCACATTCTGCTATGAAGAGGTGTAATGTGTTCTGAATCTGTGTTAGAGCACTGAATCATTGCTTGGATGGGAATTTCTTGGAACTCTTGGATGTAAGACAGACAAGCTGGGGTTGCAACAAGATTTGGTTTCATACTGGGTTACAGAGAAAATCAAATGGACAATCTCCAGCTGGGAGTGTCTTGGGCAGGTTTAAACCTACACAAACAATGAACAGGATCTCTGTGTACTTATGCAGGCAGTTCAGTGATTGCTCTCAGAATCCACAGGGAAGAGACAATCTGACTCATAAACTTTTCACCACAGGAGTCCTGGAAGACACAGTCCTGCCATCCAGAGCTACTGGCAGGGAGAGTTTTGACAAGGAACTCCAAAGGACTTCAGGCTGAATCCTGACTCTGTGAGCACACTGTCACAAGTGACAGTCCCAAGGCATGCTGCTTATGGAAGAATTTACTGTTAAGAGCAGAAAACAGTTTGTCAGCTTTGGCCACGTGAACAGTGACTAAAATCCTTACAGCGGTAGCAAGTGAAAGTGTGCCTGATTTAGTAGGAATTGCTAGTTTAAGTACATTTTTTCTCTTATTAAACTCCTTTTCTCACCACAGGCTGAAAGTGTTGGGAAACCTGTGTAGCAGCTCACTTCCTATATTTAGGGTTAGAATGACATGGCTCAGTTTCAGTTTCCCATATTTTGACTCAGTTTTGTTTGCTCTCTGATAAAAAGCTCCTCTGTTAACACAGCTCATCTACTGACTTCTGTTAAGACACAGGAGTAGCTTTACCACATTAAGATCCTCCCAAATTTTTAAAGCATACATAGAAGGTAAGATTTAGAGCATTAGAGTTCTGAGCTCTCCGTGCTCTTGCAGACAATACCCTTGAGTATGAGAAATGTTACACTGAGATCTCTGGGAAAAAGCCTGGAGCCTCACTGCCACACTGGATCATCCAGATCAGCACACAAGAACAGAACTTCTGATGGCTGCAGGGAGCAACTCCTGCTCATAAATACCCAGGAAACGCCTCTCCTACTCAGGCTACAAACATTAGCAACAGCAAACACAACTCTGCCAGCAGCTGAGACAAATTCCTCATCAGCCAATTGTGCAAATTGACAGCATGGAGACTTTGGACCAGGCAATGGCATGAAAGAGAGTTCCTGTGGGATCAGTGAGAGCTGCCTTTCCTGAGGGTTTATTCAAAGCCTTCCAGGGATGGAAAAGTGAAAGCTGAGCAAGACTCAGTCAGGAAAAAAATGAGATGGCTGACCTTCCAACACAGAGCAGCATGGTGTAGTAAGTAAGTGTTTTACCTTGTTTCTCTTTTTCTTTGAGTGGATCTGCATTATAAACTCGGAATCCATTTTCCATTCCACATGCAAAGCATCCTGTGGTAAAAAGCACATATATATACACACATATAGTAATTGCCAGATACACTCAAGAAGGAAGCAAGAGCCAGAGGGTTAGGAAAGCATTACTCAACGACTGCATGGTTACAGTCAAGCTGAAGAGCATTCACAGGTTCTGTTAGTGATGGCAAGAGAAAATCTCCCAGAGAAGTTGTCCTCTACACTGGCCTCATGGAAATGTCTTGGCATTGGTTTTAGGCAGGTAAGAAAACAACAGAAGGAAAGGAAACCAATTCCCAACCCACCTGGATCCTATGCCATGCACTAGAGTGCAGGAAAACAGCATTTTAATGTTTATGGTCCAACCAGTTATGAAGTGAGCTCCTTTCTTCATAGATCCAAATTCACCTCATGATTACGACCCTGCTGTGGATGTTTCTGGAGCACAGTGCTCATCAAACAGCTTTTTCACCTGTGCTAACGAGAGCTGACTGCTGTACAATGCCAATAATTATATGCCAGTGGTTGAAGTCTAACCCAGGACATAAGCACAAGCCAGATTAAAACTCTCTGGAAAATAATTGTAGTTACTTTTTCATATAAAAGTATGCATGAGTTTCTTTAGTGGAATCCATTAAACTGCCTGTCCCTTGTCCTGCTCCTTGCCCTGCTAACAGGTGAACACATGCACTGGTACAAAGAAATGCCACTGTGAAGTCAGAGCAATGACAAGTCCCCAAGAAGCTGCTGTCACTGGCAGCACCTGATGGCAGTTGGTTGCTCACAATTTGTGTGTACCGTACCAAAAATCCAGTTAAATATATCTTAGGTACTAGAACATAAGTTCCACTTACTCTGGTTCTATTCTTATGTACTGCAATGATTTGAACCCCTCAAATAAAAGCTCAGGAGCTCTGTCTAAACACAACTCTTCCCCAAACTTGGTACTCCAACAATCACACAGTGTGTGGAAGAAGAAAAAGAAACACAAAAACCTACACCCTTAACCCAAAAGCCTCCCAGGTACAACTTCACCCTGTCTGAGATACTGCAATAAATTAAGTGCACAAAGTTCTTGTTTACATACATAAACACACAAAGTGGCTAATGTGAATTTTAAAGCAGGATCAGCAACCATATTGCAACAGGCTTTGATATGAAGCCTGTTCACTTGCTCTCCTCCTCCCTCAGCGTTGGCTGGCTCTGGCAGGGTCTGTAAGCGTGAGCTGCTGTGACCTCCCAGCACTGGGACAGCATTGCTGGGACAGCCAGGGAGCAAACTGCAATGGAAACCTTCCCCTCCACATAAAGCACTGCTGGACAGGGTGAGAACTGATCTGTTCCTCACAGCTGAGCCATATAATTATTTTACAGCAACAGTTTTCTAATCCTCTATTGTATTTCCAGGAAAATCAAAGGGAAGGGATGCTGAAGCTGTTCTGTAGTAAGAAAGTGCTGTCAGGTTTGAGCTGTGCTGACCCCAGCAGCTCCTAACAACCCAAATGGAGCATTCCTGATGCAATCAAACACACACTTTACACTTCCTGCAGTGCCACTACAGCTTTTTGCAGGACCAACCCCATGAGTAAGACGTGGGCTGCTTTAATGCCTTGGGAATATCCACATTTTTAACTGAAGACAACACACTAGAACGTGGGGATGTGAGTAATGGTGAAATTCCTCATGTGGTCGATCACTACCCACAGAGATATGAAGCTCTCAGGCACAGCAACCCCTGAGTCAAACAAGGGAAAAATACCTACAGGAAGATTCCTGTTCCTCCTTCAATTCCAGGTTACAGGAGCAGCTTTGAAGCTTGGTGATTCCCATCTGATTTCTGTTACCAATGGAATTACAGATTAGATGGCTACAGCTTGTAAGCCCCTCCATTTGAGAGCTGGAAGGGGCTGACAGAGGAAGGAACACTTCCTTAGGTTCACTTCCTTCCACAAGAATTGCAACTCTCTTTTCAAGAAGGGAAAAAAATACCTTTTTATCTGACAAAAGATACTTTAAAAAAAAAAAAGTAATTATTACACAGTTATTGCCCTGACCCACAGTTGTGCTTGTTCCTACAGTAAAAGTGTTTTTTTTCCACCAGTGCCCATGAGGCCAGAGTGAGTTTTGTTCCTCCAAATCTCCAGAAAAAGGGTTAAATTAATGACCAGCCTAGAAGATGCCACAGGCTGAAGGAGACACATTGGCACAGAGAAACCTGCAGGCTCGAAGGCCTGTGGTCCTGCAGTGGCAGTAGTGCAGTCCAGGGAAGTGACAATGTCCAGCACAGTTTCCTTGGCACCATAAATGCTGGGTAAAGCCAAGAGCACAGGACCCTATCAACATTGTGGGGTCCTACAAAGCATTCCAGCCCACTGGAGAAGAGTAAATATAGAAGTCAAGTGTTTCCACACCAAAACAAACCCACACTTCTGTTTTCAAACCAGCTTTAGGCTGTAACAGTGACAAAAGAGAAACTTGTCAGCAATTTACAGGTATGGCCATTCACTATGATGTTTTGTCTCTTCATTTCTGAAAAGCACTTTAGTGTCCTTCTGAAAGCATTAGGAAAGGATCTGAAATCAGGAGCTCACAGCCTCAAAATTAAGAAGATAGAATATTCTGATTTCAAACAACTGACAACTTCCATTTCTTTGTGTTACATTGTTTCTTTGTTTTTTAATTTAAAGCCTAGAAGTAGCAAAAGCACCTGATATAAAACCAGCATCACTCAAGTCAGAGCGAGGGAGTCCCATGGCAGAACAACCACAGCTGCTTTATCACTTGCCAGTCAAGAAGATTCAGCCCCAGAGAGAGTTCCACGATTCCTCCTGTTCTCCCACCCTTGTGGGATTGACCAATCTTAAATTACTAAGAAATTAGGTTATTGTAACAGTACATGCAGACACCCACACTTGTGAGCTTCAGCACTCCAGTGACTCACGTTCTATTCCCAGCAGAAGGAAGAAGGAAGCAGGGAGCTTTCCCTCCTCTCTGCTCTCCTTCGGGTGGCCAACGTCACCTGCCCTTCAGCACTTTACAAGAGCCCTAAACTCGTAAAAGGTCACTGTGTTACCTGCAGTGCAGCGTCATCATTCCTAACAGAAACAGCTCCAGGAGCTGCCAAACAGAAGCCAATTGTGTTTTTTCTTCATGTTTTTTGTCACTCAACTGTCTGGCCAGGTGAGGTCAGATGGGATGTGAATACTGCCAGATTCGCAAGACAAATTCCTTAAGGTGCTTTGGATGTGATATTATTCAGACAAGGGGTTTATCTTGCACTTACTGCTACAGAACTTAAGCCTTTGCAACAAACAAGTTTTACACTAAAATGATGATCTAAAGGCATTTTTCACTAAAAGAGAAACTTTTCTTCTTACACAGCTCTACAAGCCAAATCTCTGAGTCCATATCACTCAATATCACTGCTCCATTACAGACCCTGCAGATCTGAAATTAAGCTCATCCTCAGAATTTTTTTTCCATCTCTGTTGCAGAAGCAAGATGAAAATAAGTACAGAGCTGCAGAGAAACAAACGATTCTATTCTTTTTAAGTCTATGAGATAGCAGGAAGAGAGCTGCCAAGATGCTCACACCTCATTACCTGCTTCATGTGCTATTGCCAAGATGTCATCAAAGGCATTGACTAAAATCAACAGAATAATTCGTGTTTACACAGAATTGCAGCAGCGTCAGCAACAGGTACATGAGCTGCTGTCTACAACAACAGAGGCTGCAAGAGTGCCTTAAGCAAAAATATTATTTGTTAAGGCAAAAGGATGTTACAAAATGATGAGTTTCTACTCCTTATTCCAGAAAAATGACACTTACTCATGAGACTGGTGCTATTTTTGTCTTGCCAAAGCAGGATGAGGCATATGCACCCCATTTCTGGAGCAGGCCTTCCCCTCTAACAAAGGGAAAAGAAAAGCCAAGGATGCACAAGGGGCTGTTGTATCAGTGCTTGACTGCCAGTGTGATTAGTAGTGTGAACCACAATTTTTAAAATACAAACCAGGTAAAAAGAAAGAAAAAAAGCAGTTACACCACTCATTTTGAATGTGGAGTACTTATGCTGAGAAAGAGCTGAACTGTGGGCAGTTCCCAGAAAAGCCCCTGAAGCACAGGTTTTGAGGAAGCTTTAAGGAGCCTGACGGAGCCACACAGGGTGAGCAGCCAAGTGCAGCAAAGCCACAGCAAGCCTGGCCCTGCTCCTTCTCCTCTCCCCAACCCACCCACCCATTCAACTCTCCGAAGCGCTGGGCGCACACACAGCCACACCAGTGCTAAAACAACGGGAGAACCACTAAATCCTCCCGCTGCCAGCGGCCTTCCCGGCTCCTTCCAGCAGCTGCAGCCGCCACTCCTCGGGCATCCCCCAAGGCAGCAGCAGCCAGGGGACGCAAGCGGGACCCCGCAGTGACGGGTCGGGAGCCGCGGCAGCCCCAGGCCCAGCCCCGGCTCTGCACCGCCGCCCCTCCGCGGCACCACCCGGCTCCCCGGGCCCGCAGCCTCACCGTGGTCCTGGTTGAAGCCGGCGTAGAGCAGCCCGTTGCCGTGCGGGTTGGCCGGGAGCAGGTTCATGGCTCCGGTTCGGCCCCTTCGCCCCCGCCCCTCACACCATGGCGGCGCCCGCCCGCCTCAGCCCCGCCGCGGGAGCCCGGACCGAGCCGAGCCCGCCCGAGTCGGGCCAGGTGCAGCGAGCCCACCGGAGCCGAGCCGAGCCGGACCGAGCCCGGCCGGGCCAAGCTGAGCCGAACCCTCCCGAGCCGGGCTGAGAGGAACCAAGTCCGACCGAGTCCCGCCGGGCCGAGGCGGACAGGCCGGCGGCTGCTTCCGGCCCTGCCAGGCACCGCTGCCGAGCGCAGAGCCCATCCAGCCGCTGGCGGGAGGAGCGCCGAGTAGTCGAGCGCCGCGGGAATGGCGGCGAGAGCGCCGGGGATGGACCGGGAGTGAGCGGGAGTGACCGCCGGGAGTGGCCGGCAGTGACCGAGATTGACCGCCCAGACTGACCGGGACGAACCGGGACTGACCGCCGGGCCGGAGGGGAGGATGGGTGGCTCGAGCCCCTCTCAGCTCCAAAGAACTATTTGGTAAAAGCTTTCACATCAAACTAATAAAAACACAGGAGTTGAGGGTGGAACACACTAAAACAGGATTTCCCTGACTTGACAAAACCCCAAACCAAACCAACCCCCAAAGCCAGCCACCAACACCACAAATACGTCTTGAAAATGTGGAAGTTCTCGGGACCCAAGGCCCTGAGCACCCTAACTGGACTTATAAAGTAATTTTACTTCAAGCAGGATGATGGACCCGACAGCCTGGTGAGGCCCCTTCCAACCCGGATTATTCCATGACTGTGTGATGAGCTGGAGCCCAGACTGTGTGTGCTCACACCAGCAGCATCATTCCCCATCCCCTCTGTGCGTTCACCTCCTTCCCGTGCTCGCTGTGTGTCTTCCGCTGATGTCGCATCTCGGATTTGTTATCGGCTCTGCTGGGAGGTGACCTCAGCTTTTCAGTGCACAACAGCTGAGTTCAGCCCCGGAGCTCTGCACAGACCAGCTGCTATAGTATTCTTTGGGTACTCATAGATATAGAGAGAATAATCACATTACATCCTTCTGAGATTTTGTTTCCTCAGGCAGCCAAGGGACTGGGTAATGTGAAATAACAAGCCCTTCTTTGCTTTTTTAAAAAGCTTCGCCCTTTGTTTTTTTTTTTTTAAAAGCTTCTCCTGCCCAGCGAGGGCCCCAGGCTTTACTTAATCCTTGTGGGATTGCTGCAGGTGTTCCCAGGAGCGAGGAGTGCTGCTCCAGCCTCTCCTTACCTTTCGTTTATCGTGGCTGCCAGGAGGAACAGACCTCTGGCCTTGGGGATGGACACACATCCGCAGAAATGCTCCCTGCAGCCAGGCATTCCTCCTGCAAGAAAGGAACCAGGGGTGATTGAGGAGGCTAAGGGTATAATTTGGGAGACATAAGACAACGTAGCCGTGTTGTATGGGACAGAAGTGCTCATCTTGCACCCGGACGCTGCAGAGCACTGCTGAAATCTGGGTGTCTCCGGTTCAGTTTAACCTCTCGGAGCTGCCGGCAGTCGTGTCCGTGTCCGTGTCCGTGTCCGGCTGCAGTGGAGGTGCAGTTTCAACACCCCGACAGCTCTCCCAGCACACGCGGCCCCGCTGGCAGAGCCTGCTCATCACCCGGGGACAGAGCCCACGGGAATTCCATTCCTCACACGGGGGTTTGCCGGCTGGGCTTTCCCTGTGAGAACACTTGTTCTGACGGCACTTTTCTTTAAGCTGATAGCTCCAGGTCGCGGCACCACTCTGGCATTTTACTGGCTGGAATTTTCACAGAGGATGTCAGTGCTGATCCAGGAGGAGCATCACAGACTCTTGGTGGTATCTCACAGGTGTGGAGACACTGATAGGAAACTGGGATGAAGCTGCACCAAAGGATTGTTATTACTGAGGAGTCACACAATCCCTTCACACATGAAAAATGGCTTGAGTTATTCTTCCACGTTTCAGGTAACAATTTTTCAGATAGATGGATATTGTATCAGAGGTCTTAAAGGCTGAGTTCACATTCCTAATCTAATTCAGGTATATTGTTCTTCAAATTCTTCTAAAGGAAGATAAAGCCAACCCTCCCCAGTTAAAGAAACCATTTCTAAAGAATCTGAAGAAAGGATTTTCCAGAAACATTCAATTTATTTATTTTTGCAATATTGTTCTTCAAGTTGTGTTTCCTTTACCACAGTGTCAGTGGCATTTTTTTCTTAGAACTTTCTCATAGAGTAGTATGAAATTTAATTTATACTTACAGAAAAGTATTTAACCTACAAATTAATTTACCAAAGTATTAAAAAAACATACAAAAACATTTATCAAATTAATTACATACACCAATGAGACAAGACCTTGTTTTGCATGTGCATAATAATTATAGGTGCATTTTTAGCTTAGTGAAGTTTGTCCTTAAAAGTTACTGAGGGAGCTTCACAAGGAATCCAAATGCACAATTGTAGCACTACAGAATTTGTCGCACTATTGGTAGAATTTAACAATGATAAATACATTGTTAAGTATATTTAATACATTTTATTGTATTGAACACATTTTAATTGTGCTCAGTTGTGTTTAATATTTATTCATTGTGTTTAACACATTTTAAGTACCTCTGCCTGAATATGCAGACCCATGATTAATCGTTTGCAAAAAAGACAAAATTTTATTTTACTTTTAAGTCATTGTCCAGTTTTCATGGAATTAAGAATGAAATCTAATGGTATTTACCCCCTGTATAAAACCTCACAAAATAGTGAAATCAATGCTGTTGTGAACATCAGAAACTAAAATGTAGTATGAAAATCCAGCAGCAGAATGTTATGTCCTGTCTGTGGCATTGGATGTGTCATTCATCCCAAAGCACCATTTCTGTGGTGAGCAAGCTCTAAAGTAAGACTTCACGCTCTCATTTTTGTCAGTGTGGTACGTACATGGAGTGTGCGCTGCCATTGAACAGGAATCCGTGTGTTCGGGTCTGGAGGGCCACGGGCGCTTGTGTGGAGCGGGGAACAGTGTCAGATTCCCTTCACACTGGGAAAAGTCCCTCATGACACCGGGAACAGCCCCTCTCGGCATCGGGAACAGCATCGCCTCACACAGGGAACACCTGTTCCCATAACAGCGGAAACAGTCCCCAATAACACCGGGAATTCCTCCCCACCTCCACCGGGAACAGCCTTCCATCCCGGTGGGAACAGCATCCCCTCACAGGGGGAACACCTGTTCCTATAACAGCGGGAACTGTCCCCTATCAGTGCAGGACCAGCTCCCCCTCACATCGGGAACAGCCTCCCATCACTGCAGGAACAAGATCCCCTCACACCGGGAACAGCCTCCCCTCACACCGGGAACAGCCTCCCCTCACACCGGGAACAGACTCCCATCACTGCAGGACCAGCTCCCCCTCTCATCCGGAACAGCCTCCCATCACTGCAGGAACTGTTCCTTCACAGCGGGAACGGCCTGCCCTCACACCGGGACCCGGGGTGCCGCTCACCCTCGCCGTGCCCGCAGGTCCCGTCCCGCAGCCCGGCCGGGATCTCCCCGTTCCCCACGGCACTGTCCTGCACCGGCAGGAATTTCCGCGGGGGATCGTGAGCTCCAGCCGAGCTCCCCGCCTGGCTCATCCTCCTCCCCGCACCCCACCCGGCCGATTAGCGGATTTAATCACATCCTTTTGGGCTGAAGGCGTGGATTTCACACCAAATACCCCCGGTACAGCGCCCGTGGCCGTTCTTGGAGCTGCCTTCAGCTTCCCTCTAGTGGATTGGCCTAAAACGGGATCCGCAGGCGATCCCGGAGCTGTAAAGCGGCTCCAAACTACAAATACCAGCAGCTCCAGCACCGCTAACAGGCCCCAGGACCCACCTCTCCTAGAATTAATATCTCCAGTTTATTCTAGCAAATATTTATAAAGAATTTTATTTTACATGTATAGCTATAAAAGCCCACGACAAGCAGAGTGTTTTGAAACATTCTCTCTGGTTGAGCTATTTTTATAGCTGCTTTTTTTTTTTTTTTTTTTTTTTTTTTTTT